AGTAGCTGCAAGAAATACAAGTCTTCACACCTGGACAAATCTAAAAACAGGAGCCAGGCAATTTAACAATTGTAATGTGATGGACCCCCTTTTCCTCCCTGTTTTGTTCAGACTTTAAAATCGACCAAGCATCAAGGAAATTGCTTTGAAGCCATACAATTAAAACAGTATAAAAAGCAAGATGGAACTGCCAGCAAGGTGTGCAGTCCAGGGAAGATCAATCCTGCCCCCAGCTCACAAGTGAAGGACCCACGCTCTGTGACAGCTGTAAAGACAAGAACTACTTTCTGCCTGCTTGGGTAAAAATCTCTTGCACCTAAAATAATACAAGGACTGTAACAGCTGATATACTGAATATTAAGAAAGAGCCTTTTTTCTGTCACTTAGTTTCATAGTTTTAGGGTCGGAAGGGACCTAATAGATCTTCTAGCCCGACCCCCCGCCAGGGCGGGAGAACAACAAAAGAACCCTAAACAAAAAACGGGACTCAAATGAGTCCAGCCAGGTAGGTATCCAGCCTCTTCTTAAAGATCCCCAGGGTAGGGGCCAGCACCACCTCCCTTGGAAGTTGGTTCCAGCTCCTAGCCGCCCTAACTGTGAAGTAGTTTTTTCGGATGTCCAATCTGTACCTCCTCTCCATCAACTTGTGCCCATTACTCCTTGTTATGCCAGCGGGGGCTAGGGGAAACAGCGTCTCCCCCAAACCCTTCTGGTTCCCCCTAGTGAGTTTATAGACGGTCACCAGGTCCCCCCTCAGCCTTCTCTTGTGGAGGCTGAATAGGTTCAGGTCCCGCAGTCTCTCACTGTAGGGTCTGCCCTGTTGTCCCCGGATCATGCGGGTGGCCCTCCTCTGGACCCTCTCCATGTTGTCCACATCCCTCCTGAAATGGGGCGCACAGAACTGGACACAATACTCCAGCTGCGGCCTGACCAGCGTCGCATAGAGGGGGAGGATCACCTCCCTGGCTCTACTCGAGATGCACCTGTGGATGCACGACAAGGTCCGGTTAGCCCTGCCAACCATGACCTCGCATTGTCGGCCCATGTTCATCTTGGAGTCAATAATGACACCAAGATCCCTTTCCGCCTCCGTGCTCTCAAGTAGGGAGTTCCCCATCGTATAAGTGTGCTGCTGGTTCCTACTACCCAAGTGCAGCACCCTGCACTTGTCCGTATTGAAACACATCCTGTTCCTGTTTGCCCACCCCTGTAACCTATCCAGATCCTTCTGCAATCTCTCTCTCCCTGCTAGCGTGCTCACTTCCCCCCAAATTTTGGTGTCATCAGCGAATTTAAACAGGTTGCTTTCCACCCCAGCATCAAGATCGCTGATGAAGAAATTGAACAGCGCAGGCCCCAGGACCGAGCCCTGGGGGACTCCACTACCCACCTCCCCCCAAGTCGAGTATGATCCATCCACCACCACCCTCTCAGCCAATCTGCAATCCATCTGACTGTGTAGGCATCTATGCCACAGTCGCCTAGTTTATTAATTAGGCGATTAATTAATTAATTAATTTTCCAGCTTGTTGGTAGTTATTAAAGCAAGCCTTTCTGTTATTAATCAATCGAGTGTTGTTTCAATTCTTAAAGCACTAGGTTTAAAATCTGGTTTGTAAATGCAACAATGAGGACTGACTTTTCTCTGTGGCTATAGGGGACAAGACCAGGAGTAACAGACACAAGCTATAGCAGGAGAAATTTAGGTTGCAAATTAGGTGGTCAAGCATTGGAAGGGGCAACCTAGAGAAACTGTGGAATCTCCATCCATGGAAGTTTTCAAGAGCAGGTTAGGCAAACATTTGGCTTGGAGAGTTTAGTCTGAGAGGATCCCTGAGCAGGGGCCTACACCAGATGACCTTGTTCATGAGGTCCCTTCCAGTCCTACTTTCCTATGATCCTGTGCTACGTAACTAAGATAATTTGTATCCATCTGCAGGACAAAATATTGATTACATGAATTAGCTAGCCATGCGGTTAAGTTTCTTCTATTCCATTGATCATTCAGTAATATGCAAGGAACCTGGTTCTCTCTGTTTAAAATAAATAAATAAATAAATCACAAATTCTCTGACAAAGAACAAAAACTGAATTCTCTGCTAAAAAACCCCAAATCCACATCTTTTTTGTGATTAAAATGAACCACTATACACACACACACACACACACACACACACAATATATATATAAATATCAGTTGAACAATATTTTATTGATACATTTACAATTTTAAAGCCATTTGGAAGCCTCAGTCACTGTAATAAAATAAATTCTAAAGACCTATAAAACTTGGCGTTTGATTTTGGGATTTTTTAATCATGGAAAAATCAGAGCTCCCCCTGCTCCCTTCACTCACCAGGACATGGGTTCAGCTGCAGCTGTGCCCCACGTTGTTTTGTAGCGCTGAGCAGCCCATATATGCTGGTGCCATGCCCATGCCATTGCCCCTCACTCCTGAACCACAGCTCCCTCCCCCCCAGCTGCCAGGGCTATGGGTCCAGGGACCCAGGTCCACAGGCCCAGGCCCCCTGTAGCAGCACCTGAACCCTGGCTGCTGCTCATGGGAGGCAGCAGCTGCTGTGGCAGAGTGGAGCCCATCTTTACCACCCCCACAGCCCTAGCAGAGCCCATGGTGGGCAGGCAGATGAGGGCTGCCCACTGCAAGCTTAGGCTCCCTGCCCTGCTACTCTCCCCCCAGGGTCTCCGCAGCCTTGTAGGCAGGACCCAGAGTGGAAGGGCAGAGCAGGGCCAGGTGAGGAAGACTGGTGCCACCGCTGGGAGCTCTGCACTGCCATGGCAAGGCACTCCCTGCCTGCCCAGCAACAACAAGGGGCAAAAGTCTGTGCTGTCACTCCCGCTGCTGCCAGGCAGGCAGGGGGCGCCTTGCTATAGCAGCACGGGGCTCTCAGTGGCAACGAGCTTTCTTGTCCAGCCCCACTCTGCTCTGCACCACCAGGTCCCGCTTGCCAGGCTGTGAAGGCCACAGGGGAAGACAGCAGGGAAGGGAGCCTGAGCCTGTGCCTGCAGCCCACTCCCAACCCACACACAAATCTGGGGGGCATATGCCTGACCCCCCCGGGAGTGCATGCAGTGTCAGGAGTCAGCCACCCCCTGCGACAAACTGTCTGCTGCTCCACCCCTCTCCCTGCCAGCCCTGCGGTTGCACATTCTGGCCCCAAGCCCCACACAATGCCACAGCTGGGCAGCAGCCCCAGCCCTTCCCAACTCCCTCCCCTCCCTATGAGGGCCTCAATCCCTCCCCCCTGCCACCAGACTTACCTGCAGGGAGCTGTTCTCCAGACTACGGGACAGCCATGTACATGTGAGCATGCACATGGCGCACTTTGCCTGACCACCCTCTTCCCTCCCTCCATAGTGGGGGGCTGAAACTCTGCCAGCCAGCAATGGGAGACCCACAGTTTCCCACATTTTTCTCCTCAAAATGAGAAAATCTGGGTGTCATGCCCCAAATCTGGGTGCCATGCCTCAAAATGAGAAAAATCCAGGTTTTACCACATTTTCCATGGTGACCAGAAAACCCAGAACACTGGTAACAACACAGTAAATTCAACAACCATAAAAAGCAAATGTGAAAAAGCTACAGGCAATTCTTTAAGATCACTCAAAAATAAGCCATTTAATTCTAAGGTAATTTTTGGCTTTACTTTCAGAAGATTTTCTTGGCTATTTTTTCATTGTATACAATCAGTGATTTCATTCAAACTTCTACACTGAAACTAGAGTTTCCCACTGGAGCATCTGCATGCCAAGAGATCAGTAGTTTAAAAGAATATCCTTCTCTCTACTTATATGAATTTGCAATGGCAATTAAATAAAATTGAGGGAGCTTAAACGCTAATATAAGTTAAGTACTTTGCTCAATGGGATTAAAGTGCCTCCTCCCTAAATTTGATAAATCAGAATCCAACTTCAGAAAAAACGTTAAAAAGCAACTGTCTAAAACGAAAACATTAACACAAAATATGCCCCCCACCCCCAGCCTCACTCATCCCTGAATTTACTCTACAGCCACACTTCATAAAATGACCTTCCTGTGCTTACATCATCAAAAAACCTGAGTCATTACTGATCAAACTACTCCGGAAAAAAAGCCTTTGCAAAACTTGTTTTTGGTAAGTAATGTTTTGACACAAGAAGGCAGCTATAGTAAACACCTTAACAAAAGATTATTAATATATGAATCAGAGGGAAGTATCAAGCAAATAAACTTAGTGTTTAAAGGTTAATTTTAATTTTCTGTATAACAAGTTCCTGCATAATGCTGATGGCATTATCAAGTGCATGAAACAAGCCTGAACAGTTATGCCAAGGACTCAAGGACTTCAGGAGCAAAGATTAGTAGTTAAAGTCTCTATAGTTCTGCTCTATGATCGTCTACCATTAAATAGATTTAGTGCACATGGGGTAAAAAAATCTAAAGTATAGATTTTTTTTTTTTTTTTTTTTAAATAGGTAAAAAATCTAAAGTATCTAAAAAAAAATATCTAAGTGTATCTGGCATTGAGCCAAGCAGTCTGGTACTTCAATGGTACTTCAACACCTGCTAAACTAGTTATTGTGAAGCCCCTAAACTCAATGTATTCATTTTAAGTCCCAAAAGCCTTGTTGCCTGCATACTGAGGTTTGGGGTTTTTCAGCTTGTTTGGACTATTTCCATGGTGCTCTAGATTCTGGAGCCTCTGCTGGTTTCCCCTATGCTGCTCAAGAAACAAGCAAGGCAGGAGAAAGAACAGGTTCTGAATCCCTGCATATCAAAAAAGACTCTGTAATGGTTGAACACGAATGGTATTCAAATTCAGAGAGAATTACTTAACACAGAAACAGTTGTTTTAAGGAAACATGACTGAATATGAAATTCAATATTTAACATAAAAGGAAGCCAGAGGTAAGGAAATTTCAGAAGAGTCAGCAACATCCCTTTTAGTGTCTACTGAGCCTAAAGATAAGTCATAAAATGAGACGGTACTAATAACACTTACCTATTTGTACTTGCTCTGGCTGGCTTAGCGACACAAAGGCTGATGTATCATCAATCCAGGACACCTGAATATTACCTAAAATTGAGGTAAAAAAAGGTTATAAAAGTTAAGACATTGCACATAATTTAAAAACAAAAAAAGTTTAGTTACAGTAAAGGAGTTCAAGATGCTTTTATTCACGTTATTCCCTGTAAACACGGAAAGCCCACTGACATTAGCCCCAAATCTTTTAACTAGCAGCATTTACTGGTATTGTGACATCACCTATGTACCCTGCAATTCTTAAAGCTAGGTTGAAAACTGAAGCTACCAGTACTGTTGTTTGGTACTCTCTCAACAGCCATGCTAGTAAGCAGGTAATAAGGTGGTATTTCAGGGTTCTCTTGCTTCTGCATAAGCTTTCAAAATAGTTCCGGTTGTAGTTACCTTAGAATTGGTGTTACTGTTTTATATTATTGTAAGTAAGAATGCTAACTAAAACAAAATTGAAGCAATTTCTTCCATGGAATTTGACCTTGATACCAATGACTAGAGATGATGGCAGAGAAGAGATCCCAAGTTTTAAAAAGACCTGCCCTGCTTGAAAAATTGATACTTCTCTATGACAGAATAGTGCAGCTCCACCTGTCACTCATACAGTTGCTTCCTAATATGAACATCCAGGTTAAGGACTCCAAATCAGTGGGGAAAGACAGTCCCTCATGGAAGCCAGCTGAGCAGCACCTCAAAGAATGCTATTTGCTACATTGCAACTACAAGGTTTTCAGTATTTGTCTGCACTAGAGGGTGGCAACATTTGAGTACAGGCTGCTTCAGTGGAGCTTAGCTCTAAACGCAAGCTCCTCTGAACCACGCCTGTGCCACTGCAGTCACCAGTCCTTCCCCCTCTCTGCAGCACCCCCTCCCTCTACACATACACTGTGCTGCCACTACAGCTTCTCCCTGCTGCCCGGGGAGAAGCAAGTGAAGCCCCTCTGCCACCAAAATGCTGCTAAAAACCTCTGGTCCCATGTACTGGATAAAATGGCTCTACTAGCCATAGCGTGTTGACCCCTGGTCTACACAAAGATTCCACTGAAGGTGAATAACTATGAGTTACCCATCAAGAAAATGGCTAATAAAAGTTGCTTCTAAACAACTATTAAAACAGTATCACCATATTGATCTGCTTCAGAAGTTACACTAATGGAACAGTAATTGGTAAAAATGTCTGAGTTGAACTCCAGCTACATGCCCTACAAATCTCAGACTCCTGTAAGGCAAGATATCACCTATGCCTCAGAAAAGGGGTACTCAGTCCCCAGGCTGTGGGCCAGATCCTGCCCAAGACACCACGTAATTCAGTCTGCGGGGCTCCCCACGCATGTCAAAATTCGGTGGAAGGGGAGACATCACACCATTCCCCTGCTGCCAAATCTCAAGAGCCATGGGAAATCCCAGGACCTGCACGCTAGATCAGGTGTCCAATCTCGGGGACCCAATCTAGCCCTTGGGAATAGAAGGGGGTGGTGCAAAGCCCAACTGGGACACACAGTAGTAGTGCCTCATCCAGCCCATGGACTGGCCTCGGGTCACTCACTTGGCCTGTGGGGCCAAAAAGGTTGAGCACCACTGCCTTAGACGAATGCATTCCCTAACACGAGAATGGAGAGGTATTTGGTTCAGGTGTAAGAGATCTAACAGAAACCTGAAACTCACTATGAGTGCCCCTGGGTAGAAATCTGTCCTTGCCTTGGATTTATTATCAGAACCTTTACAATTCTGAGATTTTCAAAATGGCTTTGGTTCTGAATAAGTAAAACATAACTTTAAATATAGTCACATGAAATGAGGAAATAAAGAAGCTTGGAAAGAGATATGGGAAATTTAAAAAATTACAATTAAAATATTGGGTGTGGCCTGGGAGTAACTGTACATCTAGGACTGGTATATGGGCAGGCCTTCCCATCAGAGCCTTATTTCAGTTAGTGAACTGAAGAAACAGCCATTAATAATTCTATGTTTAGGAAAATAGTTGACATTAGAGGTGTACCAACACATTCGTGCAATATCGGATCGGCACCAATATAAAGAAAATTAGTCGCATCAGATATGGCCTGATGTGGCTGATAAGTGGCCCATGCATGTACACAGCTGCAGAGCAACACATAGGTGGTGAGAAGCACAGCCTGGCAGCTTGGAGAATTGCATGCAGCTGGTAAGTTTGTTGTGGTGGATGGGGAGGGGGAAGGGAAGGGGTGTGGGGGGGGTGCAGAATAAGGACCCCATGGCGAGGAAGGGAGTGGGGCGTGGGCAGGCACTGCCCGGCCAGGTCAGGGTGGGGGATGGAGCCGTGCCTCATCGGGGGCACAGGGCAGCTCCCACCACTGCATGCACCCCTGGAGGACATGGGGGGAGAGGCACGTGCTCCAGATTTGTGTGGGGTAGGCTGTTGCCAGGGCTGCACTGGGCTCTTCCTGGGCGGCAGGGGGCTGGGCCAGGATGTGATAGCCCCCTCCCAGCACTGCTGCCACCTACCCCAGCCCCCCACTGGGAAGAGCTCAGCGCAGTCCCAGCCCCAGCCTACACTGGCAGCCCACCCCGCAGAGATCTGGGGGACACAGCCCCACCCATGCACACGGCAGCAGGAACCTCCCCACTTCCCCACAACCCCTGGATGAACCACAGCTGTCCTATGCCTTGCCCCACCCTGGCCAGGCAGTGCCTGCTCCAGGCTCCTGCCCAAGATCCACGCCATCCCTCACAGCAGGGGTTTTGATCTGCCCCACCATGCCTCTTCCCTCCCCGCTCCCATTCCACCACAACAGACTTACCAGCTGCACACAGCTCTCCAATTTCCGATACAGCTTGGATCAGTATCGGCCCCAAAAATCTCTATCGGTGCACCCCTAGTTAACATGACATTTAAAAGGACAGCAGTTCTACATTCAAATCCCCAGAAGGAAAAAACAGTGAAAAGATGAGCCAGCCTTTTTAGGTATCTGCACACAGCAAGGTAGAGATGAAAAAGGAACAATTCTTAAAGTCACAGATGACAAAGAATGACCAACTGCACCCTGTTAAAACTGATTGGGGCTTAACAAATCTCTGGGTCTGAGTATAACCTCTGGTACACAGAGTACCAGGATAAACCCTAGCTTTGACAGAGAACAGGATCAAACATTTCAAGTGTGAATCATGAGTTCTGTGTACACTTGACAAGTGAAATTGCAAATCAAATACACTCGGGTCTCTCTTTATGCAAATTTGTTTTGTGCGAATTCACTTATATGCAATGACCTTATTTATACCAGAAATTCGCTTTCTGCGAGAAAAATCCCATCTTATGCAAAGTCAGCTGGCAATGAGCTCCCTGCAGACTGGCAGAGTTCCAGCTTCCAGGGAGCTGGGAGAAGTGGATGGCAGGCGGCGAGACAGGATTGCCACGTGCATGTACAGTACGTGCACATGGCCCCAAGTAGCCTTGAGGGCAGCTCCACCAGGTAAATTGCAGGGGGGTAAGCATGTCTGGGACTGAGGCCCCTGTAGGGAGGGAGCTGGGCAGGGCTGGGGCTGCTATCCAGCTGGGGGGGTGCTTGGGGCCTGGAGCCACAGTGTGCAGCTGCAGGGCCCCAGCGGGAAACAGGATTGAGCCTCTGATGGCTTGTCGGGGGAGGGCCAGCTCCCCACTGCTACGGACACTTAGAAGGAGAAGAGGCAGATGCATGGGCACAGTGGGCCCTGGCCCTGATCCTCGGCCTAGCTTGGCTCCTCTCCTTGCCTGGTTCCAGCACCCCTCACTCCATTGCCCTGGCCATGTGCCTCCTGTGGCACGGAGCTGTGCCCCTCAAAGAGCAGCAGGTATAGGAGGCACGTTCCCAGGGCAGCACAGGATGATCAGCCACCATTCCCTGCCACCCTGCTCCGGGTGCCTCTCCAGCCCACTGGGCGTGACCCAGTGTGACTGGGAACAGCAGGGCTGTGCGGAGAGGCTACAAGCTCCCTGCTGCACTGGGTCATGCCCGCTGTGCTGTGGAGGCTCAGGGGCAGGGAAGCAGGGGACAGTGGGGCCATGCAGAAAAGGTGCTCACCCGGAGGTGCCTTGGCGATGCACCTGCTGTGCGGGCTGCTGCTTGCAGTGTGGGGCAAGCACCTTCTCTATGAAGCTCCGCTGTTCCCCGCTTCCCTACCCCAGACATCTCCACAGCCCAGCAGACTTGACCTGGTACAGCAGGGAGCTCGTAGGCTCTCTGTGCAGCCCTGTTGTTCCCAGCCACACTGGGTTGCTCCTGCTGGACTGGAGAGGCACCTGGGGAAGGGAAGTTGGGCAGAGCCAGGAGCAGTGAGCAGATCGCGTTCCCTGCTTCCCTCCCCCAGGTGCCTCTCCAGCCTGCCCTGCGCTGCTCTGGTGACACCCCCTGCATATGCCACCGCTTGCAGCGCAGAGCTCACAGCCTCTCTATACAGCAGCTATTGTATTGTGCGATTACTGTTTGAATTTGTCATGGTTTGGGGGGGGCAGTAGAGCGAGGCTGGTATATATCCCTATTAATTACATGTAATAATGAATTCACTCTCATTTTATGCAAGGTTTTTTTGGAATGCAAACCTCACATAAAGAGAGACCCAAGCATATTTCTTTGTAAAGAAACTTCCTTAAAAACAGGTAGCATGTCTGTGTCAAGCATAGATGATTCAAACGTAGGCAGATTCTTAAAGCATGAAACCATAAATCAGTCCTATGACCTACATCCAAGCACCAAAAACCTATAAAGTAACTAGCGAACTGCCCGTCAAGAATGACTGGGAGGGAGGGGAGGGGATAGAGCACCGCTACCCACCACCCCATGTTGCCGCCACCTGCCACTCTGTCCCTTCCATCATGGCAGTGCTCCACCAGGCCAGTCCATCGCCTGCATCCCCCTTTGCCGGGGACCGAGGTGGCAGCAAGGCCAGCACCACTGGCCTTTCCACCCCCCATTCCAGCTCCTCAGTCCCCGCTGTCACGGCGGTGCTCCACTGTGTGCATCTGTCCGTGCACAGCACTCTTATTGGTTGTTTCAGCTAGCTCTGTCATTGGCTGCTGAGACAACCAA